TTAAAACAATTCTGACAACTCGGAGGTAAAAATTAAAAAATTAAAAAACCAGAGAGGAAAAAAAATGACCCCAAATCTCAGACATTCTTGGCTATTTTTTTCTTTTTCTGTTGTAGTTTTTTCAATGAACCGGGACTGAGAACTGTCTAGCTTTATTTAAAAAAAAATATATTAAAAATCAAGATAAGCAATGAATTCGATAAAAGGAAAAAAAAAACCACAATTAAATAGAATCACATCGGCGAAAAAGGCGAAAAAAATTACGGGGAGCGGGAAAAGGACACCGAATGTAAGGAAGGAAGTCCAGATTGTTGTGAAGTTACGCCGAACAATCGGAAAATCGTTAACAAAAGTTAGGACGAGTGTTGAGAAGAGCACCATACCCCCCCGCCCCCCTCCCGGCCAAATTTTGCCAAACTTTTCTCCCCACCTACCCGTCGTGTCTTTGATTTGGGGCAAGCACCATACCCTTGTATTTATTTTTTGCACAGCGTTGTATATTCACTATCCAGAGGCGGTTTGGCGGGGTTGGATTTTCCCGCGCCTCCCGCCGACGGGGTCGTTCCGACTGCACTCGTGTCTCTATATATAATCTCTTCTTTTTTTGTCCGTTTTGTGTTTTCGTCTTTAAAAGCAGTTTCTAATACAAACCTTTTTTTTTCTCCTTATATTTATATATATATAATATATAAAAGGATGTAAGAAATCAAAACGTCCATCCGAATAATTAAAAAACACACACGCCAATCTTCCCTGGCCCCGCCCAGCCAATATATATATAAATCAATGTACACTCTCTTGCTTCCAACCCCCCCGCCCCCCCCAAAAAAAACCAGAAATTCACCCAAAGAGAACTGAACCCATAAAAAGTCCTGTGTTAAGAAACCCGTATTAAATTTTTTTGCTTGCTTGCTTGAGTTGGTTTGTTTTTTTTTTTGTCTTTTTTCTGTTTTCCAAACTTTTTTCTTTCTCAAAATTTCCAACCAGGAAAAAAAAAAACATGGTGAATTAAACAAACGAACGACCCAAAAAAAAAACATCAAATAATAACCAACAAAAACACCACGCCGGGCATCCCCGACAAAAGTCACCGACTTGTCTCTCTATTCCACCAAATCCACTCGCGCACGAGTGGGCCGTAATGCTCCTGTGAACGGGCTACCCTCCCAGTGTCTTGTTCCGTTCCTCCGAGCCCAGGATGCTCATCTCGGGGATGGGGAGGACGGGCACGAGAGAGGGGGTTGGTGCGGAAGGCACGCGGAAGTCCGCCGCAAACCGGAATCTCGCACAGTTCCCGATTTTCCCCCCCCCCCGCTCGCCCGCTAGGAACGGAGTCCTCATCGTCATCCTTCTCCTTTCGGATCAAACTGTTCTTCGCCCCTATATTTTTCTTTTTTCAAATTCTCAGGACTTATTATCGTCTTCCGTTTCTTTTCTCGTCCTCTTTTCATTTTGTTTTTTTTTTAAAAAAAAAAATCAGCACCACCCATGAAAATTAAGAGAAAAAAAATATATAAGGAGGTCTGTTGTGGTTTTTTTTTTTTCTCTTTTTGAAGAAGAATAAATTAAAAAGACAGCGTCCATCCGGAGGGAGGAAGGGAGAGAAATGAAGCTCGTGATCGGTTCCGTGCCCCTTCCGGCTCAGGACAGCTTGCGAGGAAGCAACGGAGGGGAAATCGAGGCTCGGTTTCGGGATGGGTGGAGGCAGAGAAGGGGGCTACAGCACCTTCTGCCCCAGACACTCACAGTGGAGTGGGAGAAACAAGCATGGGAAAGCGAGCCCAGACATCGGCGTCTGGGCGTGATATGGCTCATCTTGAACTCGGCGTCGGGGCCTGCCCAAAAAAAGAGAGAAGAGGATGCCTGTTAATCAGAGACCCCTTCCCAATCCTCGTTTTTTCCTTCTTTCTCTAACCCAGGGGTGTCAAACTGGATTTCTTCGAGGGCCGAATCAGCATTGTAGCCCTAAGCCCCTTTTTTCCCACTCCCGTTGTAACTGAGAATGTCACCAAGCGAATGGTCGTAAGTCGAGGACGTCCTGTGCAGCTAGATTGGGCTGAACAGCTCCGCCCCGTCGGAAGTGCAGGGACCTCTGTCCAGAGGGTAGGGAGAAAATTAATTTTAAGAAATACAAAGGGGAGAAAGAGGGGTGGAAACCTTTTCCTGTAAAATGATCCTCCCGATTTGATCCCGACCGCGAAAGGGTCCACAGAGACATATAGCAGAGCGAAAGAAGCTTCTTGGATTAGAAGCGAAACCTCCTCAAAGAATAAAACCCCAGAAAGTCCAGATGCCTCTTGAAAAAAAAACACCTTTGCGGCAGCCGTGACGTGGATGGCTGAGAATCTCCATAAACGCGCACGCACAAACACACACATACACCCCCCCCCACCCAGACACTCACCAGGGTGAAGCTGTCGTAGATGGCGATCAATTCTTCGGTTTTGTACTGTTCGAGTACCACAACGCCGTGGAGGGACGAGTTCCGTTTCCGGGCGCAGGCCTCGCAGTGCACCAGGTATGTGTTCTTGCTGCCGTTTTCGCTGGTCACGAAAAGGATGTTGAACACCTCCACCTGCGGGGATGAGATGGGGAGGGGTCAGTCCTCCTCCTACGAGGCAGGAGACCCCCCCTACCCTGCCTAGCAGAGAAGCCAAGATAGGAGGGCAGCAGCCAGGGATCTGCCCACCCTTCCCCTCTTCGAAATAATCTCACAGGGTGGAATCTTTTAAAAATGGAAGCCGCGGATCGGCAGATGGGATTTGAAAGGCCGCTAGCTCGGCTCCGGTTGTTGTGGTGAGTCCCTGAACCATCACGGTGGGTGCTCCTCCATCAGTGGGGGATTTTAAGAAGAGACTGGAGGGCCGCTTGTCTGAAACGGCGCAGGGATTCCTGCTCGAGCAGAGGGTTGGCCTAGAAGACCTCCAAGGTCCCTTCCAACGTTCTTATTCTGTATCAATGCTGGCAAACATCTTCTCCACCGTCTCTCCCTCCGGACGTCCACCTCCCAGCCCCATTGAGACCTTGCAAAAACCCTAAACACTAATCCTGCCCCATAGCCCAGTGTTTGAAAATTCCAAGGGGGGGGGCTCATGCAGGAGAAGGAATTGTGCCACCGGCAACCCCCCCTTAAAGACACCAGAAAATGAGCACACACCCCCGAGACCCCTGCCCATCACCGCCTAAAGAAATCGCTACACTTTGCGATGGCAAGGTGGCCAATGGCACTTGGCTTCCCTTCCGCTTTTCTCCGCGGGCACGGTCTGGCTGAGGACAATGGGTGCTGTAGTCCCAAGGTAGTTGATTTGACTCCACTTGGATCGAAGACAGAACTCGGGCCCCCGTTTCACCCTCCTTTATTCATCGTCTACAGGTGGCTTACAACATATAGTACAAAATACAATTTATTTATTTTTTAGTATCTTTATTTTCGACCGATAACCTCTCCCCGTGGTTTCAGAGACGAACATGACGGGGGAGGACGCCGAGGCCCGAGCCCTCCAAAAAGGGTCATCTGATGATCGAAGTTGTCCTTCCAAACTTAGATAGGAGTGGAAACCTAGTTAAACAGGATTTCCAGTTCCCAATCTTGCTTGAGGGGGAGGGATTTACGGAAGCCAACATCAAGAGAAGTTAAGAGAACAGGTACGGCCCGATCTCTCCATCCAGGTGTCACCATCGATGATTCACGAAATCAACATGCTGTTTCTTTCCTGGGGCCGAGTCCAAATCCAAGGTCACAACGATAAACCTTGATTAACTGTGGTTCCCCGTCTTCCTCTACCACTTTCTTCAAGGAGAGGAAGTCAGGACTGTTCATATCCACTAGACCAGAGGCCAGCAACCTGCGGCTCGGGAGCCGCATGTGGCTCTTTCATCCCTCTGCTGCGGCTCCCTGTCACTGGTCGGCGCCTCAATTGATAGGGCTTTCGGTTAGGACAGGTGGAGGAAAAAGAATGCCGTGCTAGGAGGATTTCCAGTTCCCTCTATGGTGGGGGAACCGGACTTCCTGTCGGCTCCAGAACTGAACAGGGGGGCTTCTGGTTAGGACCTTTGTGGCTCTTTGAGTGTTTAAGGCTGCCGACCCCTGCATTAGACTGAGGGTACCATCCTGGAAGTTATTGATGAGATGTTTGGCTAGAGACAATGGCCATTCAAATGAATTTGTTCTTCTGAACTATCCTTCCTTAAAATTCCCTGACTTGGGAATTCTGGGAGTTGAAGTCCACGAGTCATAAATGAGCCATCGTTCACCATGTTGGCTTGGGAATTCTGGGACTTGAAGTCCACAAGTCATAAAGGGCCCATCGTTCCCCATGTTGGCTTGGGAATTCTGGGAGTTGAAGTCCAAAAGTCCTAAAGGGGCCACCGTTCCTTATTCTAGCTTGGGAATTCTGGGAGTTGAAGTCCACAAGTCATAAAGGGGACACCGTTCCTCATGTTGGCTCAGGAATTCTGGGAGTTGAAGTCCACAAGTCATAAAGGGGACATTGTTCCTCATTCTAGCTTGGAATTCTGGGAGTTGAAGTCCACAAGTCATAAATGAGCCATCGTTCCCCATGTTGGCTTGGAAATTCTGGGAGTTGAAGTCCACAAGTCATAAATGAGCCATCGTTCCCCATGTTGGCTTGGGAATTCTGGGAGTTGAAGTCCACAAGTCATAAATGAGCCATCGTTCCCCATGTTGGCTTGGGAATTCTGGGAGTTGAAGTCCACAAGTCATAAATGAGATCGTTCCCCATGTTGGCTTGGGAATTCTGGGAGTTGAAGTCCACAAGTCATAAAGGGGCCACTTTTCCCCATGTTGGCTTGGGAATTCTGGGAGTTGAAGTCCAAAAGTCCTAAAGGGGCCACCATTCCCCATGTTGGCTTGGGAATTCTGGGAGTTGAAGTCCACAAGTCATAAAAGGGGACACCATTCCACATTCCAGCTTGGGAATTCTGGGAGTTGAAGTCCACAAGCCATAAAGGGCCCATCGTTCCTTATTTTAGCTTGGGAATTCTGGGAGTTGAAGTTCACAAGTCATAAAAGGGGACACCATTCCTCATTCTAGCTTGGGAATTCTGGGAGTTGAAGTCCACAAGTTATAAATGGGCCACCGTTCCCCATGTTGGCTTGGGAATTCTGGGAGTTGAAGTCCACAAGTCATAAAGGGGCCACCGTTCTCTACATCTGCTTCAGCAGATGCCCCAAAATGGAGATGTCTTCTTTTCAAGAATAATATTCTCTGGAGTAAGATTGAGAGTAAAAGAGACGGGATGCCACGAATTCTAGCAGCCTCATTTGCCGAATCCATGTATGCCCTCGTACACCAGAGATTCTCCGGTTTTTCTTTCCAAGAGACATCCGATCCACCCGCGGGGAAGCTACTGTGTCATTGCCCGAGTCCTTCCTGGCCAACTGAGATATCCTTCAGTCGTCACATCGAGCCTTCCCGCTCATTCATGGCGCTTCCTCAATTCTGTAGACCTCCTAAGCCTTCTAAGGTGGTACGTCTACTTCTGATTTTCAAGGCTCTTCGACTAAAATTGCTGCTCAGATTCATCTTCCTCGCTTTGCTATATTGACACCTCGAAGACATTCTAATCCTTCTTCTCTGCCGAGGAAGCTTCTCCTCTCCTCAGTAATCCTTCCAGTCCCGTACCAGTGTTGACCCAACTTCCTTGACTGGTCACCACAATCCTGACCAACGTTTCCTTCTTCTTCTCGGTTCCACGTTCTTCCTTCCTTCCTTCCTTCCTTCCTTCCTTCCTTCCTTCCTTCCTTCCTTCCTTCCTTCCTTCCTTCTTCCTTATCTTCTCCTCTTACAAAACCATACAAAACAGTCATACTCACTGTTTCTGACCTCTTCACCCTGCTACGGTTGTACGTCTACACCACTGTCTGGGCAGGAGGTGGTGAGGGGGATTAAAAAATCCCTTACTGGAGATGGGACAGGAGGTATACAGGTAATTTAGTGACACAAGATACCCCCCCACCCTCTCCCCACAGTCGAAAGCCTTCGCTGGGACCCCTTTGGGGGGGGAGGAGGGAAATGAGTTGATGACGAGGATGACGATGGACCTATGGATCCATCTCAGAGGCCACCCCGGAAAGAGGCCAGGAGAACTTGTCCCTCCATCCAACCAACCAAGCGTTGAAGGACAAATAGGATCTCTTAAGATGGGATCTGAGAAGGTCAGGAAAGGGTTGTTAAAGGGAGGAGGAGACAACCAAGGCTCATCCTTGGACCCAACTGGATTGCAGATGGATTGGACCTAGTCCCAGAAGAGACACCAGTTAAGGACCACCCAACCCATAATCCACCATCACCTGCAGAAAGGAAGCAATTGAGAAGAGAGGATGAGAAGAGGAAGAACCTTCAACCCCCTAGAGCTGACCGAACCCCACAGCCAATATCTTCCCCGCTGACTCTAAACGAGACGGCGGGAAGCTTACACCACGCCGCGTCAAATCTGCAGCCGCCACGGCGGCCGAGACACCCTTGGACCCTCCGAGGCGTGTTCTTACATCACATTCGTTGCAGTAGTAGGCCGGCTCGTCCTTCACCCTCCCTTGGTACGCGATCTTCTTCCCGGATCGGACGAGGCTTTCCCGCTGGACCTGACAGTGCTTGATGGACTGCATGAGGCAGTACCTAAAGAGAGGAGGAGAGGTGAGCCCGAACAGGGACACACACAGAGACACAATCGACCCACGCGGAGCCCCGCCAGGATGATCCTAGGGCTCCCGTTCAGGCCGTCCTCGAATGACGAGCATTCGTCGGAAGGTACGACAGTACTGAAAACAGGTGATTGAGGACCGGTCCTCGCATTTACAATTCTAGCAACCGTTCAAAGTTATTGGGTGGGAAAAAGGGATTTACGACCATTTTTTACCCTTACGACAGTTGCAGCCATCCGCGCAGGTCACGCGATCAGAATTCGGACGCTTGGCAACTGATTCATATTTATGATGGTCACAGTGTCCCGGGGGGGTGGGGGGTGGGGGTCACGTGATCCACTTTTGCGACCTCCTGGCAAACTAAGTAAACAGGGAAGCCAGATTCGCTTAACGACTGTCTTACTACCTTAACGGGTGCCATGGTTCGCTTAACCAAGGCGGCAAGGAAGCTGGCTTAGCTGCTTCGCTAGCGACAGAAATTTCGGGGTTCTATCGTGGTTGTAAGTACGAGGGTCAGGCCTGCAGCCATCTTTTCCTTTGGCTCTTTGGCCTGCCACCCTTTCTATTATTCTATGCATTTTCTATTGTGGGGAAATGGGAGTTGGGGATTGTACGGAGTTTGATGCTATGTAGCCATAACAACATTCTTTCTAGAAAACCAAGGTCATCCTTTGTCTCTGCACCTCTGCACCTGGCTGGAAATGGACGGGTGGAACTGCAAGCATGGTAGTGGGAGATTGGACCATGGGATGGACTTGTGGGTGTGGGGGCAAGATCTTGAACTTTCAACTGGGTGGGGGAAACCGGGAAGCTTTCAGATTCGGGTTTTCCCCGATGTGCCAACATGGCTCTCTGAATAAATTGGAACTTTGAGCAATACTTTGCCTCGGACTCCGATTTAATTTTGGATGCTATTCGGAACCCTAACAACAGACAGACAGACAGACAGACAGACAGACAG